GTGTTTTCAGGAAGCTCACCAATGCATTGTAGTTTCCTCAGGAAGTCGGTGGTGTCTCGAAGATAGCTGGGAGTGCTGGTAGCGTAGGGTCTGAGGAGAGAGTCCAAATAGCTAGACAATCCTGCCGTGAGAGTGCCAATGCCTGAGACGATGGGGCGTCCAGGGTTTCCAGGTTTGTGGATCTTGGGTAGCAGATAGAATACCCCTGGTCGGGCTCTAGGGATGTGTCTGTGTCGATTTGTTCCTGTGCTATCGCAGAGTTTCTTGAGCAGATGGTGTAGTTTCTTTTGGTACCCCTCAGAAGGTTTATTAGTCGACAGGAACACGCTGTAGAACAGAACTTGATAGCACAGAAATCAGTGACTTTCAGCCAAGTCCATCTTGGGAAGTCCTGGGCCAGGCGGCATGGACTCCCCCTCTTCCAGTCCCCCCAAGCAGACTGCCAGCGACCCGACCTCAGACACCCCCGTTGCTCCTCCCCCTTGTCTTTGTCTCGTTTCCTGGGCAAAGAGGTACCCGGTCATCACCTGGTTGCGTCCCCCTCCTGGGTCTCAGGTTACAAAGGGCCCCAGTCATACCATCCATGCAGACAGTTGGAGCAGCCTCACCCGCCCCAGAGGTCTCAGCCAAAATCACACACCCCCTCTTCCCACCACCGGGGTATTGGTGCAGCACACAGGGAAACTGAGGCACCCACATGATTCATGCAAAACAGTAAAACTCAAACAGTACGACTCACATACAACATAACAAGGGAAAATCCCCACTTTCTCACAACTTGCGGGGCGGGGGGGGCGGAACAGAGTGTAGAGGAATCCGGTGTGGTATTTTGGGGAGGTGATGGAAATTCATCTGCAAATTCCAGGAAGAATCATGGGTGGTTCAGAGCTAGTGGGAGCCGAAGAATGCACTGCAGAATTGGGAGAATGTCAGCTGAGTGCCAGAGGAACGTTCCCCACATTGGCTCCAGATTTTCCCAGGGGAAGGCCGCCCCCACTGTAAACAGCGTCTCATGCACTGCCTTCCCCCGGGAAAATCTGGAGCAAATGTACAGTACTGCAGAGAGCAATCCCAGACAGGGGCAGGAGCAAGATGGCTTAACAGGACTTTTCCACTGCTGCATCACAGGGCTTTGTAATGCTAAGAGCAGCCAAGCTTTTCAACAGGCAGCTTGTGAGGTTGGGTGTATCCAATCTACACAGGTTTCCCTGCTTGGGCTGCCTGAAAAGGGCCTGATTCCCAGAGTGGCGGGTGCTCAGCGCTTCTGGAACATCAGGTGTCTTCAGCTGGGGGCCCCAAACACAACCAGGCGCTGGCTGGTGTTCCTCTGAGATGGTCACCCAGAGGGGAAACAGTCTCAGATGTTTCTGCCGCGACAGTAGGACACCAGCAGCCATGAGCTAAAAAGCAGAAAGTCCCATCCTCACATTCTTCCTAAATTCCATTAAAACAATGAGGAATCGGCCTGTTTAGAAGGCGCCTGTCCTAACAGGGCCCACCATCACCAGACAAAGAAGCAGACGCAGGTGCCAACTCTGTGGGTGCACCGGCAGCCCTGCAGATCAACTCCTCCCCCAGTGCCATCTGCCCGCCAGTGGTCAGCTGTTCAGCGGTGGGCAGGAGGCGCTGGGGCAGGGCCTGGGGCGGAGCAGAGCGGGGGGTCGAGCCTCCCCCCCGGTGAACTGGGGAAGTTGACGCCTCTGGAAACAGATGCTTAAAGAAAACATTGTTTGACGGCATTCCGTCTGGCAAGGAATCACTTATCAACAGTGTGAATGTGAAATCTCTCCTTCTTTATGGTCCCTACTTCGCTGTTGTTGATCTGTACTGGTTTCCGTCTGGTTTTTTTCCATTGTTTGTCGGTTGCATAAATCATTTTGCCAGATTTAAATAAACTAAGGGAGTGAGGTAGGATTGGTTAAAGAATTGTTTCACAAGATGTTAGGATTGGTCAAAGAATGATTTCGTAATATTTTAGGGAAATGATCGGTTCAGGGAGAGCTGAGTGGGACTCGAGTTTCACTATATAAACTGGGGTCCAAGAAGGAGACCAGCTGGGAAAGAAAGGAAAAGAAAAAAAAAGAAGAAGAAGAAGGAAAGACCTGGAAGATGATGAAGAAGAAAAACTCATCTCCAAGACACAGCCCAAGATCAGAACAGCTAGAATCCTCTGCATGACCATGACCAGAAACCAGATGAGCCCAACCTTGCCTGGCCAACAAGGAAAGTCCACCTGTGTGCTGGAGTTGGGTGAGCATTGTATGCTTAGCGTGTGGTGATTGTTAATAAATAGAGGTTAAGGAAATTACTGTGTAAGGTTCTTTCACTGGGAAAAGGCCCTGCCAACCCACAGAAGAGTATGCCCTGAGCCCTAGGAACTGGGTACACCTCGAGGTGCCTAAATTAATCGGGGTATGCCTTGAGCCCACGGAAGGGTAAAGGTGGGGTGTCCCAGCGTGTGCGGGTAACAGCAGGTGTCCACGCCCAAGTCTTGCAGGTGGGTTGATCCTGGCTCTAATGTTGACTTTGGGCCATAGATCATTAGGCAAACGTCTGGAGAAGCGTTACTGGTGAGGAGCAAAGACCGGGGAGGTTGTAAGTGCCCAGTGAGCCACCAGTTCTTCCCCCCGGCTTTGAAGGAGCTCCCGTGATGATATCTCCAAGGCTGGTTTGGTGGGGCTGGAAATGGCTGGGGAAGTCCTGGCTTCATGCCCTCCATGTGTCCTGTGGGGCTCAATCGCTCCCTCTCTCTTGGCTTTGGTTGCCCTGTCTCTGACGTGGTGATGATGGCCTCTTCTCTGCTTAGATTCCTTTTCCACGCCTGTCATGGGTTACGTGAGGCAGCCACCCCACAGTCAGGGAACAGGTTCCGTCAGGGAACAGGTGCTATTCACCCTCACGCTAGCCTTGGAGGGGTTAATATAGGCAAGAGAGGCCAATTAGCCAAAGGCTGCACCTGGTGGGGAGCTAGGACGCACGACAAGGTCAGCAACTGCAGGACGGGGCATCAGACCATGTGGCGAACTAATTCCCAGGTGGGTCAGTAGGAGGCGCCGGAGCGGGACGAGGCCACGCCTCTGTGACAAGGTGGGAATGCCCCGGGAAGAGAAGG